GCATCAACACACCACAGTAAAATGAATATGCCAAAGAATGAGAAAGGCAAATGATTAAATTTTATTAGTTAGAAAAATGTGATTTCTTTGGTACTCAATATCTGTGCAAATCTCTACGATCACAACACTTTTCAGAAAGGATGTCATGTGGCAAGCTCCCTCTTGACTGTTTCCTAAAATTTTGGAGTTCTGATGAGACTAGTAACAATTATTCTGTAGAGTAGAGGGTAATTTCATCTTGTGGAAACCATGCTCCACTGACAGAAACACGTGCCTAGAGGTTAAAAAGCAAAGAAAGAAAAACCTGCTTTGAGAGCAAAATGTGATTTCTTTCTCTGCAAACCAACCTTGGATGTTCTGTTCGTATCTACAAATCCTTAGGTTGGAAATGCCTTCTCTGCAGGCTGCATCACTCTGGGATTTCTTTCAAAGTGATCCCTTCAAGTTCACACCCTGCAACCTCTGAAGTGTGTGGGAACTAACCCCTTGCTTTAGCTAGAGATCTGCAAATGGAATGCTTTGAGCATACACAACATTTCTGCGTCATTCATTACGGGACAAAAAAAAACGCCTGGGGTTAGACAGGCAAGCAATATCATTTTGTCCAGAAGATGTCCAGATCAAGCCATAGGACAGGCAACACCTATGGAACACTGTATTTACTTAGTCCTCTAGGCGAGACACTGGGTGTGTTCACTCTGCTAATGGCAATAACACACAGGTGAGTGACACTGTTTTAACACCTGCTTTTGGTCATGTTTCCAGTCTGCTAGCACTGATGTAGAGGTTTGATTTTTGTACTGTGTATGCTGATATTCAGTGGTTGGATTGCTGCATAAATTTATAACTTCATTGCTCCAGGTAACCAACATCTGCAGATAACATCATCTAAAGCGAATAGAGTTAATTCCGGCAAGTACTAATAGGCATTAGCAATTCATGATATATTCATTATAATTAGATCATTATAAATACTACACTTGATCTGAGCCAAATGGCAGAGGAGTGAAAGAGCATTATAAACGCATAGCAGGAGCCCAGACAGAGGAACAACATGATTCAAAAGACACCTGCAAAGTTCCCATTGAACCTAGAGTTGTTCAGATACTGAAACTCAATACCAACTTGAGTCATGTCAAATAGGCGAGTGATTCCCATAAGAATTCAAAACAAAATGGGTGGAGCAACACAAACCAATGCAATGCTATAGGTCTTGTAAGTTTCTTGAAGTATGAAGCTTTTAGAATTTGAAATTTAGAAAACTGGCAAAATTTCGGGTAGAAAGTTTTCCCCCCCTCTTAGAGGAACAAGTAGAGAATCTGTAATCTAACCAGGATTGTAATTCTTTTTTTCTTTTTTAAAGATTTATTTATTTTTATTGGAAAGGCAGATCTAGAGAGGAGAAGGCAGAGAAAAAGATCCTCCCTCCAATTGTTCATTCCCCAAGCAGTGACCATGGCCCGAGCTTAGCCGATCCGAAGCCAGGAGACAGGAGCCCTCTCTGGGTCTCTCACGTAGGTGCTGGGTCCCAAGGCTTTGGACCATTCTCGACTGCCCTTCCATGCCACAGCCATGGAGCTAGATGGGAAGCAGGGTGGCTGGGACCAGAACTAGCACCCATATGGGATCCTGGCGCACCCAAGACGAGGACCCTAGCCGCTACTCTACCGTACCGGGCCTTATCCATTTTGTTTAGCTGAAAGGCAAAGTACTCAAATAGGTGCATGAGTGAAAACGGAGAGGAAGAGAGAAAGTGAGTTAAGACAGAGGGAGAATCTTCAGCGTCTCTCGTGTAGTTGACAGGCATTCAAGTACTTGGGCCACCATGTACTGTCTCCCAGGTGCATCTGTGGGTAGGAAACTGGATTCCACACAGAGCCAGGACTTAATCGCACTATCCTATGGGATTTAGAAATGCCAGGGGATAGGGTGTCTGCCGTTGCATCTCCCTCAAAGCATACCTTATTGTAAAAAGTCAGAGAAGTACAAAGGCATTGGATTTGTTCCAAGACACATGCCCATTTTCCAAAGGATCCCCAAAGGTAAACATCCGTTTCTCCCAACTCGCTTACAGAGAGTAAAGTCTGGACCTGACCTAATATTTCATCTTTTCACAGCGTTATTTACTAGTCCTTGTGGGTGCCTCATCTGCAATATTAAACATTGCCTTGAAACTAGTGATACACTTGTATATGTAAATAAACTCTGAATCCAAAGATGGCAAATATTGATCATGTGGAACATTGGGACAGTAAGATTTTATAAATTCTGTTTCAGTTTTAGGTGGGTCACATCAATTAGATTTAATTAGAACATCGATAAGGAAAATCTCTAATGTATTGTAAAAGGTTAGGAAACTGATCACTTCTTTTAATTGTTTCCAACATAATTATCATCGTTCATAGTGAAAATCTATTCCTTATTCAAGAAGGAATAGAACATTTGACTAAGATATGAGTTTCTCAAAGTAAGCTTTCAATTATCTCCAGCAAATCAGTAGTGGAGACCAATACAGGCACATAGCATACACATATAATTGATTGAACATGTCGTTACTTACAAATTATACTCAATAAAAACATTTTATTACAATACTCTTCTAAATACTAAGTCTTACACTATCTTCCTATATTTAACAAAAAATTTAGCATCACAAATTAGATGCATTCAACTAACATTTTAATTCTTTATTAATATCTATTTACTTCCAAAATGAGATCAAATAAGGAAAATCATGGTACTGATCAATAATTTATATTGAATCTGACATCTATTGAGTACACATCTCAAAAAATGGAGTTGTGTCTCATAAGAATTTCATAATAGTGTAATTATTTTCCTTTCTTGCTCTCATGAGATAAAAGCAAGAGGGACAGGCATTGTGGAGCAATGGGTTAGGTCCCTGGATGTCCACATTTCATCAGAATGTTGGTTTTAGTCCCAGCAACTTCACTTCCCATGCAGTTGCTAACGAATGCATTTTGGGAGGCAGAATGATCCTTCAAGCACTTAAAGCCACTCTCATCTTTGTGGAGATCCTGATGGAGGTTGGGGGTCCTGGCACTGGCTTTTACTACCAGGTAGCATAACTTTGGCTCTTCTAGCATTTGGAAGCTGGATGCGATTCTCTCTCTCTCTCACTGACCTCTTTCTACCTTTTAAGTTGAAGAAACTAAATGAACAAGCATGTTTTTAAAAAGTGAGCACAAAAGGGACAAGCAAGCTCCTGCTATTCAAAGTGCTCCCATTGGGTGTAGCTATGATATTAGATAGGTTAATCTCATACCTAGCCTGTGTATTCAAGATAGATGCCCAGTTACTTAGGAATTATCAGGGTCGTTCTTTGTCTCTAGGCTTAAATTATAATAGCAGCTTGTTCTTTAGGGACAAATAAAATGCTTTCAGATCAGTCAGATCCAGGATTCTAACATACAGTTTCCCACATAGAAAGGAATCTAAACAGTTAAGGCTCTGAGCTTTCATCAACAATCATCTCTACATGGCATTCTCACTTTTGAATTTGTCATAGAACCTATAATTCACACCTAGCTTGAATGCCTTCTGTGTGTACATTCATCTGTGAGTAAAAAGAGATAAATACAAGGAAAATCCATTCAACATCCAACCCCGTCATTCAGTGACGGTTCTGAGCAGAATGTTTAAAAATGTCTGTTTATGCTAAAAGGAAGAAAAAGGCATTTCTCCTAAAATGCAAGGGCAGCTTACATGCTGAGATGAAAACTGCTAACTCTTTTCTTAACAACACCATATGTCTCCAATTGGATCACAATGCAGCCAGTTCCCAAGGGAACGTCACGCATGGAAGCTAACCAAATCAAGGCTGAGTCGTCTCTGTGTGCTGACTTACTGATTAACCAGTGATTGGCTACTTCGGACATTCCGTATCATCCAACTGTCCGTGGGAAGCCTCCTTTGGCTTGTCTGACATTCTTCCCAAGCCAATACGTCAGGAAAAGAGTTCTCTAACTGCTTCACGAAAGTATTTCGTTTTTGTTCACATTTGCACTTTTATGTAACTTTCTAATTATTTGTAAATAGTACATGCCTTCTATGCAAACACCATGGAAATCCAAAAAAAAGAGTAATGATTAAAGTCAGTTTTACCTAAAACACCATAAGCAAAAGGATAACAAATAAGCCAAAATACATTTGTCAGCTAGTTCTTTTTATTTGTTGTATTTTTCTTAGTTCAGTTCAATCTTTAATCTTCAAATGCACACGAGATTCATTTTAAAATATGTCAAATACCTTGCACTAACAATACCACTATTGTAGTCATATCATGAGAGATATCCACACTTCTTTTTTTTGCTTACAACACTGTCAGGATAATATTAAGTTGAAGGATTTCTATCTCTGATATGCGCTATCTACTGAATTATTTTATACTGAATGCAACTCTTAGTAGTAGAAATTGTGCAGTTTTTGACGTGTGAGATGGACTGAGACAGTCTAGATTAGAGCTCCCCAAAATAACACTGATGATGTTTTCTTAAAATGTTAATCTATCAATAACTAAGATTTTTATAAAACATAAAATTTATGTACTCAAGTTTCAGGAAAATGTCTAATTACATTGAAAGTTTAGTGAATATACTCCTAATTTCTATATTTTCTTGTCACAGAGAACTATGGGATGTTTGAAGACAAGCAGTAATTTGTGGATTTAACAATAGATACCATTGTTTAAACCCTTTATAATTTAGAAATCATGATTTAAATATTAACAATGCAAGTCAAAAATTTCCTTCATTTGCTATTCTCTACTGTTACTCTTCTAAATCACTTTAGGAAGTTAGCAGCAGAGATTCAAAGAAAGGCCAAATAAGAATTATTCAGAAACTTGGCAGCAAAATAACACACATTTATTAAGGCATCTTTTCCTCACAGCTGCCAAGCAAGGGTCTTCCCATGTGACATTCTAAGAATGACAATAATCATAGTTATTACTTACTCAATTCTTCAGTGACATTCCTTACCTGGGATGCCTGGTGGTGTTTTCAGATATTTCCCATTAAAATGTTGAATTACCACTTCACACTTTTCAGTAGACTCCATTCTAGGGAAACAAGATAAACAGGGATTATACATTTCCAACATGTGACACCTGTCCCAGAAAAATAAATATTAAAAGAAAACAAGAAATCCCCAAATTTAGACAGTTTACTCAAACTGTCACCTGTTGTCATGAATAGTATGACTGGGATGATGAGAGAATATCAACTTTATCATTACTGAAACATCATTCAGTCTACTGAAGTTGCCTAAAATCATCATGCAGAGGGCAACTCCGGGCATTCATTTAATTTGCATAGTGACCGTTATAGATTGAAGGATTTCAATAAATACCTGTTAGATGACTGCATTTGAAGATCTGTGCATTATGTCTCTATTATAATTAAGAAACTTTCGTATTAACAAGGATATTGAGGCTTTTGACATAACAGGGCCTTTCTGATGAATAGCAGAGCTGGGATTTGCATCTACACCTTTGCATCACACTCAAGCTTGTACTAAAACTACTATTCAGCCATGACAATTTTACAGAATCCTCACTGAGTGAAAGGATCCCAAAGACAGTTATTTGGGGTTCTACATATGGCAGAAATTATGTGATTGAACATACATTAGGTATTGTAGTTCATTAATTTTTTTTATTTTAGATAACAATATTCCTAAACTAAGATTCTTTTGTCATGCTTTGGCATCGTACTTTCACTGAGGAATGAACATGTTGAGTCATACTAACATAATTACAATTTTGGCAGTGTTGCCAAGTCGTAAATACAGTAGTATTGGCCTTCTATTTTTATTATTGTTATATTTGCCATGATAAAGCTTTGTAGGTATAAGGATTCCAGACCCTTCCTCCCATTTCTCTTTCCCCAAATCTCCATTACCACCATTTCCCCCATATTAATACAGTAGTACAGTCCTTTAGTAACAGTTATAAGTTTAGCATTACATTATTTAAGTGTAACATAGCATTGTAACAATCTTTAAATAACAAGTTTATCTCACCATTGCTATTTTAAAAATTAAATAATTAAATAATCAATTTGGATGAAAGAGGATTAAATCCATAAAAATAGATTATAGGCAAGAGTGAAATTAAAAACAAAAGCACACAGTTACAAAAAGTATGAAATTTATCCAAATGAAAGATATAATATTGGATTTTCTCTTATGTTTTTAATGGGAGCTTTCTTAGAATAAAGAAAGCCCTTTGGTACAAGACATACAACTTTCCAACATATAAATTTCAGATGTGTTTCAAAGACAGCATCACATGGCCACATTACATACACAGGAGAAAAAATCAGGGGAGAAATATCCTAATCAATGAAAAATCACTTACAGATATTTATTACAAACACAGGACTTCAAACGTGAGATCCACACCAGAAACTGGGGAAGTGTGGAGTAGTGAGAAAAGAGGACAGAGAGCCTGGGGAGATGTCAATATGGCACCGAGTTGAGGCCATCAGATGGGAGCACCTGAGTTCTGCATTTGTTGGGGTAAGGGAGCCAGTCGTGTCACTGGGTGGACACTTCACCCAGGACTGTGAAGTAGGGAGATACACATAGGATATCTGGATCATCCAATGAATGCCCTGGGAACAGTATCACAAGCAGCTGCCACATGGAAGCTGTATTTTTTGCACAATTTTGAGCTTGCCTTTAGATGGGCATTTGTATGAACTATGGGGTTAACATGTGTCTTTCTATAACGTTCCTCGTCGTAAGTCACTTCCACTCAAGCAAAGCTGACTGCCCCAGCCTGAGACTGTTCTCCTTGGCAGCCCCACCCTCAGAATGATCCTGCACTTAGTTTACTAAGCTCTGCTGCCACTGCCTTGAAGATTTTAATAATTACACATTTATTGTCTTTCATAGGACCCAGAATGTGTGGAGCTGATCTGGTTTTAGCAAGAAAGTACAGGAGGTGCAATTCAACATTAACAGGTCAGTCCTCACTTTGAAAAGACAGCAGAGCCACAGTAGTTCTATGTTGAAGAGTATCCTAAGAAAAAAACAATTTGATATCAAATGAAATAAAATACGTAAAGCTTCATAGCATGAGTTCTAATAGCTAAAAATAACATCAAAGTTGACTACGTAATCATCAGTTGTCCCTCAAAAGCAGGTACTGAGAAAAGACAAGAGAAATCTTCCTTCTTTCTAAATGTCTAGGATCAGGAAAGTACAGTTTCCTAACATTCAACTTGTCTTTCCAGTGGATCCTTTCACTCTCTTGTCTCCAGATTTGTTTTTGTTTGCTTTAAGTAAGAAACTTACACCGCTAACAAAAGCATTCTAACTCTGCTCTCCCTGCCTTCCCTTAGGATCTCCAGTGCATTGTCTCTTTGGTAAAATAATCTTTCCTCCTAGCAGAGGCATGAATGGGAGAGGAAACATAAGCCCTTAATTACTACAGATGTTACTTTATGGAACTTTTATTCCAGGAAAATGACGGAATGAAAAGCTTAAGCCCTAGAGCCCCTTCCCTGCTCAGTCTCTCTCTGGGTACCCATCTCCATAACAGGCAGATAAGTCTCTACAGCTTGCTTGCAAGAGTCCTACAAATCAAATCCATTTTCTTTGCTATAAAATGATACAGAGTTATCCATGAAGACTACAAATAAATGGCAGTTGGAGTGCATTCATGCTTGTGCATTTTACTTTGTGTTTGGGAGAAACTAAAGCAAAGAATCTGGTAGCTAACTCAACCCACTTACCCAAAATACATACATATATTTGTGTGTGTGTGTATGTGTGTTTATGTATACATTTTTTTTTAGTTTGATTTGAAAGCCTCAATTCTTCCCTTCTGAGCTCTTAGTATGATTGTCTTTGTTTAATCTTCTTTTATAGCCATACCAAGCTGAATGGGGGTTGATTCTATGATCACAAAGACAGCAGCATGAATTCACTCACTGGGTTCATTCAGATTTAACTAAGTGAGCGTCTGCTGTGAGCCTTTAGAGACGCTCCTCTCTGAAGGAATAAATGCAATAAAAGTCTGTTTTCCGTAGCTGGTGGCACTTAATGTCAACCAGTGTTACACTGCACCACCCAGCAGTGACACTTTCATTCCAATACAAGAGGCACCTTTCAGTATGGCAAAGGAATTCCTGCAAAGATGGGAGCTTCTTAAGGTGGGGGTTGGGGGAAGGCTCTGTATTTCATGTGCATATTGGGTAGAAATTGAACAAAACTGAGACCTAAGAGCTGGAGTGGAGGCAGCCCATGAAAAGCCAACTTAGAAAAATTACGCCCGTTTTCTTCTGTGAGAAGGTTCTACAAGATGTCAGCTCTGGGTATCTGAAGACTGGCACACGCTTGCATTGATGCTGACACTAGGGTTTTCAAATGAGGTAAGAGAGCCAAGTGTTCACAGCTGCATTACTCATTGCTTTTAGACCAGCTGATGTATCATTAGCATTGCATGTTTTCATTCTCGACAGTAGCTGGACTACCTTGTGCCCCTTAGAACTGCTCAAGTGCCTGACCAACCATCCACCTGACAATACATTAATTAGGCTCTTACAAGACTGGTCCCTGCCCAAAGCTTCAGGGTTTTCTCTCAGGTCTGATGTTGACACACAAACACACATTAAAATCCCGCTTGGCATTTATTCTTGCCCCAATACCTAGACACAACTAGTTTTAGTGGTTTGAAATGCACCATGGAATTCTGCTGCTGTTGTTTCCTCATTCACTCTCTCTTCCTTCTTCCTTTACGGAACGGGTACTAAGAATTCCTTTTACAACCAATAGCATTGTTTGGGGCAAAATGCATGAGACGAGTACTTAGAATGTTACGGCTCAAATTTTTTGTTGCAGTTGTTGTTGAAAGAATTACACAGAAAGAGGCAAGATAGAGAATGAGATCTTCCATTTTCTTCTTCATTCTCCTAATGGCTCCAATGGCTAGGACTGGGTCAGCCGAAGCCCTAAGCTAGGAGCTTGTTGGGGGTCTTTCATGTGGCGCCAACAGACCCAATGACTTTGGCCATCTTCCACTGCTCTTTCCAGGCACATTAAGATGGAGTTACACCAGAACTGGAGCAGCTGGGACTTCAACCAGCACTCCAATAGGATGCTGCTGTCCCCACAAATGGTGGCTTGTCCTGTTACACCTCCAGTGTCAGCCAAATGTGGTTTAGATTTAACACACAGAAGTGGAAATATACTTTGCAAAAGTGATTTGTAGTTTACCTATTTCAACTGAATGGGGGATCACCCAACTTACCTAGAGCAATAAGTATTATGGGCTATGTGTTTAACACAGATCTGCTCTGTCATTCACTTTTGTTAATTAGAGGTTTCCACTATTGTGAAATGTTTGTGGTTGTGCAATCACAGGCTCTGGACAAATTATTGGCAACCGAGAACATCCAACAATGTCTGCCCATCACCCTTATTTCCGGTAGGATTTATGCAAATGGTTCTCATTAAAAGATTATAAGAAGCACTAACATGTGGCAGTCCTTTGACATTTGAAAAACAAATTACGTCATTCATTTTTTAATCCATTACAGTGGAAAAAATAATAGTGAGTCCAAGGAACAAAGACGAATGAATGAGTTGTAATTTTTCAGTTTTTGCAATTTGTTTTTGTCTAGGCATATGACATTCTTAGGATAGAAATGCCAAATCACGAAGCAGAGTAACCATCCTGCCTTTCCCTTTGGTAGAAGCCCAGGCATTTTTTGGTACATTGCATCACAGCACTTTGCACCCCTACCCTTGCCTCCATGTTACAGAGTCACAGAAATCCAAGAGAGGAAAAGAGCTCAGTGTCTTTTACATTACACAGATAAGGAAGCTAACAGGAGGAAAGTGGCTGGCCTCATTAAGGACTGGAATATACCCTTATCTCCCAACTCTCAATGCAGATTTGAAATGTGCCTTGCTAGCCCTGTCACCCCGTGGCTTCCTATACTGATGGATATCCCTCAATAACAGAAGATGGACGGGTCCCGCTATGTTCACTTCATCAAATCACTACTCACTTGACTAGTAGTTTTCAACAATGGAGTTATACCTGATGTG